TAATCTAAAAGGACGTCTGTGTGTTGGTGGCGGAAGGATTTGCAAAGGGATAGAGAAAGTGACAGAGAGAATGGCTGTATTATTTGAAGACTACTCAGCATTGCTGATTTGTATACATAGAGATTGTTGAGGTAGCATATGTTTGCCATGTGTATTTTCGCCACAGTAAAAAATTACGTATACAGATGTATATTCATATGTATATTCATGTAATCCTTGAATATACAATAACCACGAGGCCAGTGGGGATCCCAAATGTCTAATACCCACGGCTGCCATGTATATACACGCAGACATGCACGTAGTACTTGCACACTTCAGCACAGCCCCAAACAGACATGTAGGGAAAAAAGTGCCATTTCCTCATCTCAACCAGATGGTGCCTTTTTAAAAGTTTTCTTCTTTCTTTTTTAAAAATCATTTTACTGGGGGCTCTTACAGCTCTTATCACAACCCATCCACCCATCCATTGTGCCAAGCACATTTGTACATATGTTGCCATTATCCTTTTCAAAACACTTTCTTTCTACTTGAGCCCTTGGGATCAGCTCATTTCCCCCCTCCGCAACCCTCCCTCCCTCATGAACCCTTGATAATATATAAAAAACTTTTTTGCCCATGTTTTACACTGACCGCTATCTCCCTTCACCCACTTTTCTGTGGTCCATCCCCCTGGGAGGGGGTTTATATGTCGATCATTGTGACCGGTTGCCCCAGATGGTGCCTTTCTGGGGCAGTGGTGGGAAGTCACAAGTCTGGACTTGTTGGGAATCACTCTGCTCTGGATAGCTTTTGTCCCGGTGACGTAAGAAGCGTCTTGGGCCTCAGCCAGCCTAGGGACAGGGCACCACTGGAGGTTCGAGTTTGTTGCTGTCGACAAAAAGTTGAACTTGTATGTTGTCATTAGTCCGGCTGTCTCACTTCTGGAAGCGCATCCTACAAAAGGAATCCGTTCCTAAAGATAAATACTGCAGCATTCACCCCAGCCTTGTTGACAGGAACAATAGTTGCCATTTGTACAGCAACTGCTGTGTGCCAGGAGCTGCTCTGAACCATCACACACATTAAGTCGTTGGATCCTGACAACAAGTCTAAGACACCGTAGGTATTACGGCTATTCTCATTTTACTGGCGGAAACTGATGAAGAGAGGACCCAGAGCCAAGAGGTGACTACAGGGATTCTATGCACTCGACCTCCTCCTGTACTACACAGACGGGGAAATCTATGACCTCGATGGCAAAAACAAACAAACTAACTAACTAACTAACTAACTCCCGATCAATGGGTCCATTCCAACTCACGGAAACCCAGGGAGGACACACTAGAATGGCCCCAGGGGATTCCCAAGGCGATAAAACCTTGTGGAAGTAAACTGTCCAACCTGCCAGTCTCTGGATTAGCAACCAGGGCTTGAACCACTGGCCCCAGGAATCCTGGATGTCTAACTCTGGCGTCAAGGCAATGCCAACTCATAGCGACCCCGAGCTGCTCCAGCGGGTTTCCGAGACTACATGCAAACCTTTAGGGAAGCAGCTTGCCTCCTCTTTCTTTCAAGGTAGTTCACATTTAACATGCTCAAAACTAACCTCCTGATCTGCCCGCCCCTCAAGCCTCCCTCCTTCTGCAGTCTGCCCATCTCACTTCATGCAATTCCATCCTTCCGGTTGCTCAGGCTACACATTTTGGAGTCATGCGAAGCGCTGCTTTTGTTCTTGCATCCCAATATCCACGTACGTGCAGATGCTGACATGACCTTGCACTTTCATTGCTACAACCCTGGTCCAAGCTACCAGCACCGCTCACCTGGATTTTTTGCAGTAGCTTTTTAAGTAGACGCCCAGTGCCATCCCTTCTGTCTGGGCCTCCAGTTGGTTCTCCACCAATAGAGGAGTCCTTCAAAAACTAAGTCAGGTTACATGACTTAGAACCTCGTATCTCAGAGTCAAGGCTGACATTTTTCCCAGGCCAACAAGGCCAATGATCAACAGAAGTCCTTCGTCACTGACTTGTGTATCGTCATGTCTGTCCACCTTTGCATGAAGGCAAGCTGCACAAGGCAGAGGATTTTGTCTGCTGTCAGTATCGCCATGCGTTTGAATGAAGGAATCAACTAGAACGTTTCAAGGCCAGAGGAGGGTTTTAATGATCCAGTGAAAAATGTATTGGCTTCTGAATCAGGACAGTAGTAGAATATAGCTTAGAGCCATTTTTTGGCTGTAAGTTTATCAGACTTGGTCAAATCAATGTGGAGGGCAAAGACGAGGGCAGGCGTCCACGAGAGCTTCTGGCTTGCACAAGGAGACTGGTGGAGAGGCCAAGCAAAGTGAAAGGGCAGCTGTAGAGTTTGGGCGTGAAAATAGTGAGTTCAAAGAGAAAACGTTTCAGGGGCACTTTCGATCACCCCTCTTCTTTTTGGAAGTGCCGTAACTGAAAATACATAGAGTCAGCCATCACTGTTGTACAGTCAACCCTCTTGGCTAGACTTGCTGGCTGCCAACTGAAGAGCTGAGAGTTCAAATCCAGCCAGAGAGAACTCAGAACAAAGAACTAGCGATCTGTTGGATGCGCTGAGACAATTTCAATTCATGCTCCCCCTTTAGGGCAGCATGGAACAGCTGGCTCCCTTGGGTGTCCTAGGCTGTCCTCTATATGAGACAGACCAGGGCTCCAGGTCATTTCTCCCTAAAGAGTTGCTGGTGGGTTCGAACCACTGACCTTTGGGTTGGCAGCTAAGTGCTTTTCCTTTTGTGCTACCGCATGCCTTCCTACCTATCCACTTCAGAAAAACCATCCATTGAAAACCCTCTGCAGCACATTCTCTTCTGACAGAGTCAGGGTGCGGCCGATGCACCGCTCCTTATGCTACAGGCCAGTGTATCAGGTGATAAAATGCTCTTAATGTAGTGTGTTTGATATGAAGGCTCCTCGTGGTGCACTGGTGAAAATGCTCAGCTGCTAATCAAAGGTAGTTCAAATCCACCGGCTGAGCCCCAGGTGAAAGATGTCATAATCTGCTTCCACAAAGCTCTCAGCTTGGAAACCCTGTGGGGTCAGTTCGCCGTTGAGTCACCAGGAGTCAGCGTCAATCCCGCAGCAATGGCTTTTCCAGATTACAGCAATAATAGGCATTTATTTACCATCTCCTCGCCCTGCGGGTTTCGGAGCCTATCCACCTGTACCGGAGCAGAGAGCCTCATCTTTCTCCCGCGGAGCAGCTGGTGGTTTCAAAATACCGACCTTGCCGTTAGCAGCCCACATGAAACCCGCTACACTATCAGGGTTGATAGGACGTTTTAAAAAAAATGTTCTGAGCTCCCCAAAGAGGTGAAAATGTTTCTCTCTTCAAGAACCATCTGACCTTGTTGGTATGCAGTCAGCAAATAATAAGTCATTTTCTCATTCCTATTCACTGGGCAAGTTACCTGTTTAGCTTCATAATTTACAAATATGCTACTTAATCAAAGCAAGGACCTTCTAATCATTCTAACCAGAGAACCTGCCCTACTTTCCATCAGCAGCATTTCCCCCATGATGGCTCTGCAGCCACGTGTCCCATCCTCCACCCTCGGGCCTGCCCTCTGCAGGCCCGCGTCCACTCACCTGGCAGCTGCAGGCAGAGGCTGACTCTTAGCGCCTCCTAGAGCCACCGACTGCAGAAGCACCGAGATCTGTTGGAGACAGAGAATTCCAAGTGAGCTAAGGATGGGTGCGGGAAGAACAAAGTGAGCTCTTCTTGCCAGGCTCCATGCAGCACCAGCAGAGCGGGAGAGAGGTTTGTAGAGGAAATATCAAGATGTCCCTCCCCTAAGGAAAGGCCACTCGGTTCAACAGACAGAGAAGTTGGTCTCTCAAGGAGGAGCTTCTAGTCTCCGGGGAACAGCTGAAGGGTGGCCTGGATCAGAAGATCTGGTGACCCTTGGTGTTCTCATCTGTAAACTGAGAGTCATGAGGAAGTCTGAAGGTAGGTGTGAGATCAAAGGTCAACTCATTCCACCCAGTTGATTCCAACCCATGGGCCTGAATCGAATTGCCCCTGTGGGTTTCTGAGGCTGTACATACTTAAGGGGAGCAGAGCGCCTCGTCTTTCTCCTGAGGAGCAGCTGGCGTGTTTGAACCACCAGCCTGTGGTTAGCAATGCAATTCATTAACACACTGCACCCCCAGAAAGACTTTTGTCAACAATTAATTGCTGTATGCATACGACCCATTTCGATACTTCTCAAACCCAAAGCTTCCTGGGTAGAGTGCTGGGTATTTTGACACTCTGTGGGAATAAAGCCAGCCAGCCATCGCACCCACCTTTGCCCCACAGCCTCTCCCTGGTTTCTACCCCCTTCATGCGCTTTTTCTTGCTCGCAGATGCCACCAGGTGAGGAGCAGCGCCTGCCAGTCTCGGCCTGACCCAGAGGAGGTGCTCAGTAAGAAGGGACGTGTTGAGCAGTGGATTCATAAAAGGCTTCTTGCGGGAGCCAGAGCGGGTCGTGGTCAAAACGGAATCCGGAATCCCCGGTGCCACCAGGCTCCCCGGGCCAGCTCAGGGTGTCTGGGAGAAGGGGCTGAGGAGGAATCTGCCGTGAAGGCTGGTGGCAGGCTTCGGCAGGTGGAGGACTTTCTCCCTGGGGGATTGCTCTCGCTTTGCTCTCGGGGTCTCCTCTGAGGGTGGTCCCGACAACTCATCTGGCCCACAGCTGGCGGCTCAGACGGGTCGAGCTGGCATGTGCATCCTCACAAAGTCCCCATGCGGGAACGCAGGGCCGCTCCAGTGTGGAGAGCACTGCCCAGGGCACATGCTGACTGACCTGTGATCTCCTCTTGGGCTTCAGGAGTCGGCCGGCCCGGAGGTGGTGAGATCTGACATCTCAGAGACTCTGCGTCCTTCTGATGTTTAGGAGGCAGAGAAGGAGCCCCCAGCTCACCTCAGGAGACTAGGACGAGGAGTCCTGAAGGCCCTGGGCCCTCTCCCTCCACCTCTGTGCAAGTGTGTGCCACGCCAGGGGAATGGACCCCAGCACCATCCTGCTCTCTCCTCAGTCCCGAACCTGTGCCCACCTGGAAGAGCCCTGCATGGAGGCGGGGAGGAGCCCAGCCCCACAGGACCTGGCCAGAGTGGCCCCCTTTGCCTGGAGCCAGGTCCCCAGGTCCGGCCTGGCTGACCCTGACTGGTTTGGGGATGAGCACATCCAGGCCAAGAGGGCCCGAGTGGAGACCATTGTCCAAGGCATGTGTGTCTCCCCTGGCGCCCCGGGGCCAGGCAGAGTCCTAGCCAGGGATGGCCCGTGTAGCCCGGAGAAGGCCCGGGAGCGAAAGAGGAAGCAGAGCCTCCCCATGCAGCAGGGGCCCCCAGGGCCAGGCCCTGGCCAGGACCGGGCCAGCAGGAAGGGGCTGGGGGGCCCTTGCGTGAGAGAACAGCTTCACCTGCTGAAGCGGCAGCTCAGACACCTGCAAGCGCATGTCCTGCAGGCTGCCGAGCCCAGGGACCCAGTGCAGGGCCCAGGCAGCTTTGCCAGGGGCAGGAGCCAGCCAAGAGTGCAGCGGCAGAATGGCTGGTGCCCGAGTCCGTGGACCGGGGACACTGACCTCCCCCGGGACTCTGGCAGGCAGCTCTCTGAGGGGGCAAAGCACCTAGTGTCTGAGGAAGTCGGGGTCCTTCCTTCGGGACCAGATGCCGGGCTGCAGATTCTGAGGGAGGAACTGACTCGGGCAGTGTCCCAGGCTGTGGACTCGGTGTTACAAAAGGTACTGGTGGACCCCCCAGGCCACCTGGCTCAGCCGGACAGAAGCTCCCCGGGGCAGGAGCATGCCCCTTCAGGGGGAGGTAGCTGCAGAGACCCGCTTCGTATGGCTGACCCCCCACTGGGGAACTTCTCCCTGGACAAGCCCCAAGATTCAACTAGGTATCACGGATCTCTGAGAAGGATTCCCAAATGCTACCAAGACCCCTCAGCAAACTGCCCCTTGACTGTGGCTTCCCACATCCAGGGACATCAGATTGTTAGCCAGCTTCTGGGTCAAGGAGCACACAGCTGCTGGAGCGCCCATCCCCCCCAGGACATGTCTTCCCAAAGTCATGCCTACTCCCAGCCGGCCCCGCCTCCCTGGGGAGCCCTCAGAAGGCTGCCTTCCACCCTGAGTCAGCAGCCCTGCTCCCTGCCCTTCCCATCCACCCACCTGGAACACCCGCCCCTCCTCCCGCCGGTGAAGGTGGAGCAGGGGGGCCTGCTGGCTGTCCCCAGAGCACATCCCTTCTCTGTGGTCCATATATCCTTTGTGAGAACTGGGGGCTCTCCTTCCACCCCTCAGAGGAGGGGCTCTTGAGAAGCAGAGAGAAAGACAGCCTGTTCTCTGGCTTAAGGGCTTTGCTTTTCAGATGGGCCTCTTAGCGCTGCTGCTTCTGGGCCTTCCTCCCCTGTGGCTCCCCGCTTGTTAGGTTCCTGAGGAAGTGGTGGCCACTTTCTTGGCCCAAAGGATGCTGGGAAGGTTCATTTATCTTCTGCGGCATATTGAATCCTAGCTTTACTGTCTAATTCCTTCAGGCCTAAAGGTTTGTTTTAAAACTCAAAAGGCCTTCACACAGCTGTACAGGCAAGGACCTGCGTGTCTGCGTCACTCATGGGCACCTGTGAGGGGCCAGAAGCTGCGGGGTAGGTGGAAAGAGTAAGTTTTCCGCAGGGACTAGACCTGGAGAGGCAGCTGGGAGCAGTAAGGAGCCTTCTGTTTGAGGGACAGCTGTGTAAGGCAGGGGTGTCGCACAGCCACAGAAGGCCCTTGAAGCCATCACACACCCCACCACAGGGAAGTCATTCCAGCCATCACGTTCCAAAGCCAAACTCCCTGCACTGAGCGGATTCTGTAGGAGAGGCTGTAACTCTCTAGCGCAAGGTAGAAAGCCTCCTCTTTCTCCAGCGGAGTGGCTGGTGGAGTCTGAACTGCTAACCTTGGCTGCTAAAAACCCAGTGCTTACCTCACTCTGCCCCCAGGGCAGAGGGCTCCATGCCATCACCTCAGGGTGGAGTCATTAGAGGTTTGGTCAGGCTGGCCTGAGAATGCGATGATTAATATCCAAATGGCCCTTGGCGGAATAAAGGTTCCCTGCCCTGCCCCTGGCGTCGGGGAAAGGAGACCCCGCGGAGAGCCTGAGGAACCGGGCTGGCCTGCAGAGCTCTGGGTCTTTGTAACTCTGGAAAAAAACACAAAAACAGCTGGCATCAGGTCCCTCTGCCTCCTGGTGACCCTGTGTGGTCAGAGGAGAACTGTGCCCCAGGTAGGGCTTCCCTGGCTGAATGTTCCGAAGTAGATGCTTCTCGGATGGACGCCAATCTCAACCTTTCTACCCACGGCCAAGTGTGTCTGAACCACTCCAGGACCCCGGCCACCCCTAGCCGGACCCCATTATGTGAAGAGTCTTTCCTCGAGTGGCCTGACGGCTAGGCGCTGCGGTTGAATTTAAACACGTTTGCTCGGGTAAACTGGGGGCAGTGGTGGGTAGCATAAGGGTTACGCGTTGGGCAGTGCTAGCAGACAGGGGTCCAAACTACCAGCCACTCTGGGGAGCACCAAACCGCGGGGGCAGTGCCACCCTCCCTGTAGGGTCCTCAGGAGGCAGCCAATGAGGTGTGTTTTTGGTATAATGGCAGGATTTCTCAGTGTTCGATGCCTCTGCTTAGGGCGTCAAACCAAAAATCACCTGGCTATCTGCTGCTTCGGGCTCCCACTGAAGTAGGTGAACTGCAAGGTTGGCGGCTCAGACCTACCTCCCTGGGAGGCTGGGGGTGGGGCTGTCTGCTCTGCTTAGGGATTCTTAGACCCAGAGACTCGGTGGAGGGATGCTCTGCGTCCGAATTGACGTATCGGCGGTGGGGTTGGTTTGGTGGACATGCTGGAGTTCCCTATGAAAGAGCTGAGAGGGAAACGGACGCACCCCCATCTCCAGATGACCAGAAGATTTTTCCCAGCAAATACCTTGTAGAACTAGAGTTCCTTAAAAGGCACGCTGGATGTTGCTTTTCAAAATTTAATTTGTTTAGTGATCTGCAGCTCCTCGTGGCAGCCCAGAGCCTGGTGTGCAAGCCACCCATGTGTGGGCATGTTCACGCGCACCTGCAGGCGTGGACCGTCCAGCGGCAGGGTGGGGTGGAACCAGGCTGGCCGCCTCGGGATCCTACAGGCCCTGCACGCCCTCTGCTGGCCACAACGGTTGCAAACACCCCAAAGCTCAGGGTGCAAGAGGGTGCTTTTCCAGAGAGCCACCCTGAGGACATGCCGTGCGGCCTCTCCAGGAAGTTTAGGATCCTTGAGCAGGTATGTGGGTGCTGGCACCTACCAGAGTCTGGCGAGGCAACGGCACTTGCTGCTGAAGTCACGAACGTGGTGGCAGGAGCCCGACTCAGCCCAAAGGTCCTTAGTGTCTGTATGCTGGCATTTGTTGGGCACCTGCTACCTGCCTGGGCTTGCCCTGGCAAGTGAGGGCCAGGCCCAGAGAACTTCAAGAGGTCCTGGCTGTGCGGCTGAAACACCTGGCGCCTATGGGCCACTTGGAGCTCTTCGTTGCCACTGCCTCTATCCCAGCATGCCAGGACCCTTTGGTGGGTCAGGATACCCCCTGAGGAGCATGCTGCTTCCAACAGTGGAAGAGCTGCCCACACACCGCCTCCCTGGGGAGTAGGCAGAGCAGGTGTGTGGGGGATGCATGTGTGTGTCACCGTGAAGATCCCTTGCCATGAGTCCCCTGCACACCCCACCCTGCAGCCCTGAAAGAGCCAGTGTTCCGGAGATGCCTTTGAGTTCTAAGACTGATGGGATTCTTGAGTGTGGGGGGCGAAGCTTGACTGACACTCGCTGGGGGCTACTGATTGGCTGCCATCGATGTAGGCTGCTTCCCCTGGCTCTGCCACGCTGTCAGCTCACCTCTGACACAAGGACCCCACATCCTTTACAGCCGAAGAGAAATTCCGTAAGCCAAACCCTGGGCCTGCTCGAAGGCACTGCGGGCCTGCAGTCCTAACTCCCGGTCCTCACACATCCGAGGTGGGGCAGGTGTCTGAGAAAAGCAGATGAACTTGGCACAAGGTAACGGGCAGGGAGTCAGGGTTCCCACTAGGAAGGCCGGTCATTCCGGGCGATGCACTCCCCTTCCCATTCCTAGAATGGGCCCAGGAGACTCAGACGTGCAGTGGCTTGCCCAAGGTCACACACCAAATAGGTGGCAAAACCGGTATCAGAAACCGGGTCTTTTGAGCTCCCGCCTCCAGGATTGTTTCCATAGCACTCGGGACCCTGTGAAGGGGGTGAGGAAGGAGCACGGTCACGGGCAGAGGTCTCCTGGGAGCAGCCTGGGTGCTTTCCTGTGGGGAAAGACATGGTTGCCTTAAGGCTCCAGCTCTCCGGCAACGCTGCTTCCCTGGGGCTGCTATGTCCGTGAGGTCAGAATCTGTTTCCCTCCTCACCTGGTGACAGGCGCCTGAAGGCAAAGGCACCCATTCCCAGTGGGAGGGAGTTTGAACTTCTCATGTATGGATTGAGGTTGATTATTGAATCACTCCCTCAACTCCTTCAGCTGACATTTTTTTTTTTGCTGACAAACATTTATTGAGCAGGTACTATGCTCCTAGCACTGGGCTAGGCCCGGGGACTGAAGGAGAAAAGACCAGGTCCTTGGGCTCAAGGAGCTCACCAGCTAAGTGGGGGAGACAAACATGAGGCACAAACTCCAGCACAAACTCCCACAGGGGCCTGCACAAAGAACCCTGGTGCCCGACGTAAACCCAAACCAAACCAGCACCAAGCTGCCAGTCCATTCAGACATTAGTGCCCCTCTCCCACCCCTCAGGGGACAGCGGAGAACTGCCCCATGGGCTTCCCACATCTTTCTCCTGTGGAGCACCTGGTGGATTTGAACTGCCCACCTTTCAGTTAGCAGCCAAGCTCCACCTGGGCCCAAGCCTTCTCTGGTCCGGAAAAGTGTCACCAGGTGGGTAGGGTATGCTCTGCCAGGCCTGTGGAGAGCAGGTGCAATTCAGAGGGTCCATGCTTTTGAACCGCAGCTGAATCTGCACCAAGAGGGAAAGTCTGGGCAGACGTCGGCATCCACAGTGAAGGCCGTCAGCAGCCAGACCTAGCCAGCTCCCCCCATTTCACAGGCGAGGAAACTGAGGCATGGGGCAGCTGGGGCGGGCAGGAACCTTTACTTGGGGTTTCAAGATGGTGTATCTGGGGAGATGGTATATCTGCCCTCCCTTCCCACCCTGCACATACACACACAGAGGCACATAGCATGCCAGCCTGTGTCTGAAATCGATCACACTGGGCCCGTGGCTTTGACACATCAAAATGCTTTGTCAACGCCTCTGAGAGGGCATGCAGGGAGCATCAGGCTCTCTAGAGACCAAAACACTGAAACACCAGCCAGCCAGAAAAGACAAAAGCCAAAACCCAACAAGTAGGATGCTTATTTGGGAAGCTGATACCAATGTGTGGTGGACTGGCAAGCTATGTGCTAATTTTCCTTGACCTGGGATAAATCCAGGAGGGCCTGAATCCTGGTCACTTGAAGAAGGCCAAACTGCTGTTCTTCTTCACGCGCTACCCCAGCTCCAACCTACTGAAGGCCTGTTTCCCCGACGTCCAGGTAAAGTCCCTTGGCTGAGCCCCGGCTCGGCGGGCGGGCTGAATGAAGAACCCCGAATGAGTGCACAGGGGCCAGGAAGGCCGTCAGGAGCCCTGCTGGCGTCGAGCTGGGCTGTGACCCGACCCACAAGGTCGGCCGCTTGAAACCACCAGTCTTTTCTTAGGAGAAAGACGGCTTGCTGCTCCCCAAGGAGTGAGTCTCAGAACCCCACGGGGAGGGGGGGCAGTGCTACTCTGCCCTGAAGGGTCCCTGTCCCTGTGAGTCGGCATCGACTGGATGGCAGTGAGTTCAGTGATTTCGGAGAAAAAGTCTACTTCCACCTCATGTTTTACAAATGATAAAACTCATGTGCTGAGAGGGGAGGGCAGGCTATAGCTCTGCCCAGAGACCCAGGGCAAGGGGAAGAAGTGGGGAGGGGCTGAGGAGACGCTAGGAAACTGTCTGAGGCCTAGTCTTCTGTGGGGACGTTACGGAAACGACAGCGTATATTTAAAAGGCTTCCATTCCTACTGCTGTTTCACATCTGAGTGAAGGCTCACCCGGCCTGTCCCACGTGCTGCTTCAGAGAACCCCCTTCACCCTGGGTGCTGGGTGCCAGGGAAAACCCACTGCTCTCAGGACAGGTCAAGGCAGAGCGGCCCTGTGGGTGGGGGAGAACTGGCCCCTGGGCGTTCCCAGGCTGCCCATCTTTTGGGGAGCAGACTGCGCAGTGCTCTCGGGGAAGGGCTGCTGGGTTTGAACTGCCAGGTCTTCAGTTAGCAGTCAAACTGCTCCAATCTCTGCGCCACTAGGGCTGGCTCCTCAGGTGTGGGACCGGAGCTGTAACACCACATCGAGATCATTTAGGAAATGTTTGTTTAAGGCCTTTCCTTCCTCCGCAGCTGTTTAATCCCCAAAGCAAACTCGGATTCTGATTCCTTCTGAGATAAAGTATTCTCGCACTCCTTAATCCTCCATCCCACCACGCTGGCCTTGACCCAGAGGCTCCCAAAGTCACCCCCCAACAGATGGGGGATGAGTCTACATAGATGTGGCATATCAAAAAACGTTTATTTCTCACAGGCATTGTAGCGAAGTCTCACATTTGTATGGGTAACTGATGACTAGGTAGGACCAGTTAAAACTAGTTTCAGAACATAAGCTTCTTCCTAAGCGAAGGCCGTTCTACTGCTGGGAGAGCCACTCTGGTGAGATGGAAGCTGACAGTTCTGATGGGGCCGGGGGCACCTCAAGGTAACCACCCGCCCTGACGGGCCCATTGTTTGGACAGTTCAGCCGAGGCGTCACCTCCCAGATGATCAAGTGGTTCAGCAACTTCCGTGAGTTTTACTACATCCAGATGGAGAAACGCGCCCGGCAGGCCATGTCACAAGGCGTCACCAATCCCAACCTGCTGCTGGTTCTCCGTGATTCGGAGCTTTTCCGAGCTCTCAATACGCATTATAACAAGGGAGACGGCTTTCAGGTAAGACCACGCGCCAGGGTCCTGGGGAGTCTGGTGAAGGCCTCCCCGGGGGGTTGGGGGGGCGGCGGGGAGAGGGTAGAGTTTCAAAAAGAGACATCTTTCTCTGTCACTGAGAAGGCAGGGCAGCCCAGGTCCCATCTGGGCATCACCCAGAGTCCAGTCTCGGCCTCTTTCATGGGCAGCAGGAGGATGCTGCCAACTGGACATCAGGCCCATCTTTGTGCTGAAGCTGAAGCCAGGTCCCCCTGGGGGTTCTGTCACGTTCCACTCACGTCACGGCCAACGGAGGCAGGGCTCAGTGGCTTTTCTGGGCCATCACTCCCCGTCTTCTCGTCACATGTCGCTTCTCCACAGTCCCACCTTTGCCGGCCTTCTCTGGCAAGTCACTCCCAAGTATTTCTGAGAGCGAGGCCTAAGCAAGCTCAGGCTTCTCCGGCGCCAGCACCCCACTGGTAGCACCCGAGAGGTAATGTTCCAGGCAAGGGGGAGCATGGGGCCCGAACTCCAGGGGAAGGAATGCTGGGGTGCCCTTGGCATGCCCTCCGAAGGTGGCCTGTTCGGTCAGGGCCTCCTGTGCCCGGTCCCAGGGCATGTTCTCCTCCTCTCTCTCCACTGTGATCACAAAGAATTGTCGATGTCGCCAGAAAAGGGAAGAGCGGCTGGCCCCATTTGGCGTGATCTACCTTTGAGGGAAACTGGCCACGCCTCCTCTGGAAGGACTTGTGGGCCAGCATGGCAAGGCGGCAAGGCCAGGTCTTCCCTGTGCAGTAGTGGCAAGCCCCCAAGTCAGGCTGGCTCTGGGGAGCCTGTGGGAGGCCCCATCCTGCTAGGTGGCAGTCTGGATGGAGGTCCTGGAGCACCCCTCCTAGTTAGCTTCAGGAGCTGAGACTCCAAGTGCCTCGGGGCCAGCCCTTGAAGTGGGAGGAGATCATGTTTGGGGTACTGCTTCCCGTCTTGGGCACAAGGGGAACCCTTTTGGGAACCATCAAGCTGTGACCCCAAGCCCTCCGTGGCGAGTTTCCCATTTCCGCAGACGTCACTATTTTTTGATGTCCTTCCCAAATAAGAGGAATCAACTCCTTTTCCAGAAGGCATGTCTTCCTGGGACGTCATCTAACGGTTTGTGAAAGACGAGGGAGCAGGGGATTCCAGGGCCATGTGAATCTGGGGCCTGCGGTGCAGCCCAGCCCGAGACAGGTGCCCTGGGGCAGGGAGGTCTGTGCAGCTGCGAGCTCCACAGCCTCACATCTGGGCTCTCTGGTGGGTCTCTTGGGGAATGCAGGTCCCAGACTGCTTCTTGGAAATTGCCAGCGTGACGTTACAGGAATTCTTCAGAGCTGTCTCCACAGGGAAAGACTCGGATCCTTCCTGGAAGAAACCCATTTATAAAATTATTTCCAAACTGGACAGTGACGTCCCAGAGATATTCAAAACTGCCAGCTATTCCCAGGAGCTGTTTCGGAGTTAAGAGTTAACAAGAAGGCGGTGGGAGGAGTGACTGACCAGGTATCATGGGGCTGTCCTGAATGGTCACCAGTAAACAGTAGACATACATAAAGGGCAGAGAGAGAAAAACCCTCTCAATAGGTACCATGACTGTTTCTGATCATCCACTTATTTTGTTTTCCAGACACCTGAGCAGTTTCACCTTAACGATAAGAAACAAAAGTCCACTGTCATCCATCCAATTCTAATTCATAGCGGCACGTATCAGGCTCTGAGGCTGTCCATCTTTATGGGACCAGACAGCCTCATCTTCCCCCCAAGGAGCAGCCAGTGGGTTTGAACCAGACTTAAGAGGTTAACAGCGCACCACAGAACCAGGAGCACC